AGGGAAGTCAGGTGCATACTCTTGAGTGACACCCCCAAGGGCTCTTTTTGTAGCAGGAACTCCTTTGCATATTAGGCCACACCCCTTAATGTAGCCAATCCTCCAAGAGCTTACAGAGCTCTTCTTACAGGGGCTACTGTAAGCTCTTGGAGGACTGGCTACATTAGGGGTGTGTCGCCTAATATGCAAATGAGTACCTGCTACAAAAAGAGCCCTCACACCCCTCTCAGAGAAAAGTATTCCCCCAAAGCTGTAATTCTGCATGAACAAAAGAGGAAAAGTATTGATATATCTGTCATGTAATTTTTATTCGAAAGTACACCATGCTACTCTGAAAGCTGGTGTGGTTATAACAGTGAAATCCTGCCCGACAGCCAGGAAGACCTGGGTTCAAATCCCTGCTCAATCGTGACGCTCACTAGGGGACCTTGGACCAGTTTCTGCCTCTTGCTTCCTCTCCCTCTTGGCCTAGCTTACCCCTCAGGGTTGTTGTGAGGGTAAAATGTAGGAGGGGAGAACCAGGTATGATATTGGAGGGAAAGTGGAATAAAAATAGAACAAAGTTTGAGTCCGGCGGCACCTTTAAGACCAACAAAAGTTTTATTCAAGGTGTCAGCTTTTGTCTGCAAGCACACTTCCTCAGATACAGCGAAACAGAATGTCCTCAAGCCCTACATTCAGGAAGTTGCGGGAGGACTGTCAGGAAGGGCCAGTTAGAGCCAAGACGCATACATAAAACTGCCTTGATATAATCGCGGCTCAAACTGCGCCGGGGCAATTAGCCACGCCTCCCCCCCCCGCACCCGATATCGCGAAATGACCTCTGCCGGGGCCATAGAATAGTATCTGATGATGGTTGAATCCACCCTCTGAAACTACCACTTCCTCCAGGAGAATTGATCTCTCTAGTTTGGCAATCAGTTATAATTTATCCTCCGTTGGCTGAACAGTTATTCTGTCTATTCCCACACAGAAGCATATAGAGGGCACCCCCCCAAAAAAAACAGGGATCCCCAAGGTCACGGACGCCAAGAGTTCCAGTTTGTGACATTTCTTCTCAATACTCAAGATCAATGCTCCTTCTAAGCTGTGGAGTCTTGTGAGCAAAAATTCTACTTTGTGAGTTCCTGGCATTACAGTTGTGAGCGAGCAATTTGGCTATTGCATACATTAGTTTGCTCTGGGAGCCCTCCTTCCTGAGCTAAGACAAAACTGTGTGAGCTGGAGGCTAAAAAACGGTGAGCTAGCTCACACTAACTCAGCTTAGAGGGAACACTGCTCAAGATGTATACAAGATCACCACAGTGACTATTCATAATAATGGTAATTGGGGATAGAAGAGTGCAGATTCAAAAACTGATTTAAAGGTCACATGGCAAAATTGCCTGTAATACAATATCCATTTGCCGTGTGCGCTCAAGATCATCTAATGAGGATTAATTCCACCCTTGATATGCGTGGATCATCCAGTTCAATTTGCAATGCAGGGTACTTGGTGGCAGAATGTTACAGTCTCCGTCCCCAGTGCAAGCATATGAATAACACGGGTATTTCGGTCTAGATAAACGTAATGAGGACAGAATCAGAGTGGTAGATGTTTAGGTTTAATTCATATGTGGTTCAAAGATGTGTGCTGTTGGTATGGGATAGCTGAATGTAAGTACCACAAGGTTTCCCTCGCTCGAAAGCCAGTCGAATCCGACTCTAGGGTTGCGGTGCTCATCTCCATTTCCATGCTTAAGAGCCAGCGCTGTCCAAAGACATTTCCGTGGTCATGTGGCCGGCATGACTAAACGCCGAGGTGCCACGGAACGCTGCTAAGTACCACAAACAGATGTTTAGAAGGTGGTAAGAAGGGGGTAATTCATTTGCAGTGCAATCCTATGTAAAATTACTCCAGACTAAGCTTTGGACTGGAGTTCCTCTGCATTGGCTTGACGTGGATGGCCCAAGCTAACCTGATCATGTGCATGTATAGACTTTTTCAATAACATTTGATGGGATTTGGCTCACAGGGCTCTTTTTGTAGAAAAAGCCCAGCAGGAACTCATTAGCATAATAGGCCACACCCAACAGCAGAAACTCATTAGCCTATTAGGCCGCACCCCTGACATCACAGCTCATTGGCATATTAGGCCACACCCCATGTTGCCACACCCATCCTTTGCTTCTTATTCTGTTTACCTTGTTTGTTGTCAAAACCCAGGGCTTTTTTTGTAGCAGGAACTTCTTGGCATGTTAGGCCACACACCCCTAATGTAGCCAATCCTAATGAGTTTCTGCTGTTGGGTGTGGCCTATTATGCAAATGAATTCCTGCTGGGCATTATGCTAATGAGTTCCTGCTGGGGGTGGCCAACTCAGGAGCCAGCCAGAACTCTGTTCCTGTGTGTTCCTGCCCAAAAATAGCCCTGGCTCTATACATTGGGTATAAAAAGCTCTAGAAATTATTTGGAACAACAAGTAAGTTACCCGTCAGCTCTTCACAGCTAAACTGAGGGGCATTTTTATTACATCTTCAGTTCTTACAACAAGGGCCACTCTGCTATCACCTACATGTAGGAATTGAGATCCATGAGCTAGGGTGGTATGGTGGTTAAGAAAGGCGGACTCTAACCTGGAGAACCAGGTTTGATTCCCTACTCCTCCACATGAAACCAACTGGGTGACCCTGGGCCAGTCACAGTTCTCTCGGAGCTCTCTCAGCCCCACCTCCCTCACAAAGGTGCCTGTTATGGGGAGAGGGAGGGAAGGTGATTGTAAGCATCTTTGAGACTCCTTTGGGTAAAAGAAGAAGAGGAAGAGATTGGATTTATACCCCGCCCTTCACTCCTTCCAACCTAGCAGTTCGAAAGCAAGACATTGCAAGTAGATCAATAGGTACCACTTCGGTGGGAAGGTAACAGCGTTCCGTGCGCCTTGGTGTTTAGTCATGCCGGCCACATGACCACGGAAATGTCTTCGGACAGTGCTGGCTCTTCGGCTTTGAAACGGAGATGAGCATCGCAAACCTAGAGTCGGATTCGACTGGCTTTCGAGCAAGGGAACCTTTACCTTTACCTTTCACTACCCAAGGGAGTCTCAGAGCAGCTTACAAACTCCTTTCCCTTCCCCTCCCCACAACAGACACCCTGTGAGAGAGGTGGGGCTAAGAGAGCTCTTTCAAGAATTGCTCTTTTAAGAACAGCTCTGAGAAAACTATGGCTTGCCCAAGGTCATCCAGCAGGTGCAAGTGGAGGTGTGGGGAATCAAACCCAGTTCTCCCAGATTAGAGTCTCAGAGCTTAACCATTACACCAAACTGGAAAAAAGCAGGGTATAATGGTCTACCGTTCTATAAAACCCCTTTCACCTTCTGACTAACATATAAGGGCTCAGGGATCTCTGTTCCTACTTTTATCTGAGGAAGGGAGCTTTGGCTCTTGAAACCTTGTACACCCCCCACCCCGAAAATCTTGCTGGTATCTAAGGTGCCATGGACTCCAATCTAACTCATAAAATGTGCATAAGAACAGTGACATTTAAGTTCAGACTTTTTTTTTACAACGAACTGCTGCCTTAAATAAACTGCAATTTCCTTAAATTACCTCTTACCCCCTTTAAGCATGTTCACGGTTATCATAGCAGCTTACAGGCAGACGTATGTGTTCAGGAGAACTTAAACATGATCGGGGTGACCAAGGATTTGGAAAAATCCTTCACAGGGGATTTTGGTTGGAATGAACTTGCTGGGCTAGATGGATGGAATTTGAAGCGCCACCACTTTTGGGGAGCACCAGTTGCCAGCAATGTTCCCTCTAACCCGTGGAGTCTTGTGAGCAAAAAGTCTACTTGGTGAGCGCAATGTTCCCTCTAAGCTGTGAAGTCTTGCGAGCAAAAATTCTACTTTGTGAGCTCCTGGCATTAAAGCTGTGAGTGAGCGATTTGGCTGCCGCATAAATTAGTTTGCTTCGGAGCCAGCCTTCCTGAGCTAAGACAAAAACGTGTGAGCTGGAGGCTAAAATACTGTGAGCTAGCTCACAGTATTTTAGCCTCCAGCTCACACGTTTTTGTCTCAGCTCAGGAAGGCTGGCTCCGAAGCAAACTAATTTATGCGGCAGCCAAATCGCTCACTCACAGCTTTAATGCCAGGAGCTCACAAAGTAGAATTTTTGCTCGCAAGACTTCACAGCTTAGAGGGAACACTGGTTGCCAGTGGTCTTTTTCACTAGAAGAGTCCCTGTTCCTAAAAAAGTTCACATCCTTTAAATAGAAATGCCCCAAATTAAACCCCCCACCAGCTCGAAATCTTGCTTTTGTGGCGCGGGTGGGGGGGGAGGATGTCTTAGGCTGTGGAAGGTCAGTAGTTCAGCAGTTCAAGACCCCGGTGCAGCAAGACAGGGTGAGTTCTCTAGTTCTCTGTCTCTAGTTGAGTTCTCTGTCTCTAGTTCCAGCTCCTGCCAACCTAGCAGTTCGAAAGCAAGAAATTGCAAGTAGGTAAATAGGGACCACTTCGGTGGGAAGGGCACAGCGTTCCGTGCGCATTGGTGTTTAGTCATGCCGGCCACATGACCACGGAAACGTCTTCGGACAGCGCTGGCTCTTCGGCTTTGAAACGGAGATGAGCACCGCAACCCCTAGAGTCGGATTCGACTGGCTTTCGAGCAAGGGAACCTTTACCTTCACCTTTTATGCGCCGCCTGGCTTGGCCTCGCCCTTGCCCTGAGGATCTCTTGTGCGGAGCCGGCTGCGGTGACTGAGTGGGGCGGGGAGGCACCCTGCACATGCTCAGAGGAACGGGACTGCCGGCTCGATGGGTCGGGGCTGAATTTTGGCACCCCAGGTTTCCTAGTGAAAACCCCTGTTTTGGAAAGACCGCACGGCTGGTTGTGCAGGAGGCAGGCGAGCCCGAGAGGATCAAATTCCCTCTCCTAACCCCAAGCTCAGGCCCTCCCTCTCGGCTTTGGCCCCTCCCCAGCGCCGATCTCTCCATATTCCCCCCCCCCATCACCTTTGCAGCCTCTCCAACATGAGCGCGGCTGCGGTTGCACTCCTGGTCCGCTGCGCCCTCCTTGGGCTCCTGGGGTCCGCCTGGGGGGTCTCCTCCGCCCCCGAAGAGGAGGAGAAGGCGGCGGCCGGGGCCGGGGGGGGGGGACCCCCAGCCGGCCAGCCGCCAGAGCTGCCCACCGTGGCGCTGGCCATCCTGGCCCGCAACGCCCAGCACTCCCTGCCTTATCACCTGGGGGCCCTGGAGCGCCTGGATTATCCCAAGGAGCGCATCTCCATCTGGTAAGGTGCCAGGTCCCTGGGGGCGGCTTGGGACTCATGCAATGTGCCCTCTAAGCTGCGGAGTCTTGTGAGCAAAAATCCTACTTGGCGAGCTGCTGGCCTTAAAGCTGTGAGCAAATAATTTGGCTGCTGCATCAGTTAGTTTGCTCTGGCGCCCCCTCCTTTTCCATCCTGAGCGAAGGCAAAAATGTGTGAGCCGGAGGCTCAAAAACTGTGAGCTCGCTCACACTAGCTCAGCTTAGAGGGAACACTGCTTGGGAGGGCCAGTTGGGTCGGGGGAGCCTTGTGGAACAATGGCTTTCCAGTAAGGGGGTGTGTGTTAGTGGGGAGGGGGATGGAATCTGGGCAGGACTTCGTGGCTGTGGCTGGTTTGGGGGTACAGATGGCGTTTGGGGTAGCTGGGAGACCCAGACTGTAAGGTGGAGTTGGCCGGTCCACCAGCAGGGGATTGGGGGAGGGGGAGAGAGTGGCTAGATCCAGGTTAGGCAACTCCTGGAGATCGGGGGATGGAGTCTGGGAAGAGCAGGGGCCTAATGCCATTGAGTCCCCTCCTCCAAGACATCCATTTCCTCCAGGGGAGCTGGTCTGGAGATGAGCTGTGATTCTGGGGGATCCCCAGGTCCCACCTGGAGGCTGGCATCCTGCTAATGTGGGGTGTCTCAGTCCCCTTGTTTCGGGAACTGGCGAGGTTGGTCACAAAACTTTTATTTTTGGATATAATATCACATTTAACATTTACTTTCCCGTCACAAATCCCCACGTTTCCCTTCCCTCCCTCCCTCTCTAATGGCTTCCCGCGGTGCTCTACCCGACTTCTCTTTACATTTCTTATACTTATTTCAACATTCTAAATTCCATTACTAGATAACATTTCTGTCAATATTGTTCTAAATACAATAAGCTGCGCTTTAACATCCCAGTGGGAACTGGCGACGTGAGTCTTGGATCACCAGGCTTTATCCCGGAATAAGTTCTTGCATTCCCCGAAACGCTTGTGGAGTCCGTGCTCCCTCTAAACTGTGGAGTCTCGTGAGCAAAAATTCTACTTGGTGAGCTCCCGGCGTTAAAGTTGTGAGCGAGCGATTTGGCTGCTGCATCAATCCGTTTGCTCTGGAGCCCTCCTTCCTGAGCTAAGGCAGAAGTGGGTGAGCAGGAGGCGAAAAAACTGTGAGCCTGGCTCACACTAACTCAGCTTAGAGGGAACACAGCCGTGGACTCCTCTTTGTTTTGCTGCTGCAGGCTAACACTGTTTAAAGAATAATTTTTTGCCATCGAATTGCAGCCGATTTATGGCGACCCCCATCGGGTTTCCAAGGCAAGAGACATTCAGAGGTGGTTCGCCACTGCCTGTCCCTGCATAGTAGCCCTGCTATTCCTTGGTGGTCTCCCATCTGAATACTAACCAGGGCCAGACCTGTTTATCTACCAAGATTTGGCAAGATCAGGCTAGCTTGGGGGATCCAGGCCTGCGCTTCTTATCCTCTTGCCATAATAACCTCCAAGAATGGGCTGCAGTGTGAAACACTGGAATCTCTGTGCACATTACAATCAGGGTCTGTTGGGAAGTGTGACTTGGGAATCCCCGTAAACTCTGCTTTCCATGGAATGTGGGAATGTGTAGTTGGGCACTGTGTGAGTGCCGGCCTGTGTAAAAGTTTGGGGTACTTTGGGCCAGCTGGTCTGTGTCTGCATGATTCAGGGGTGTCTTGTTCAGTATCCCTATGAGCATGATTCCCGCACGATTTCTGTACTGATTGGTTGTGGGCAATGCTCTCTCTAAGCTGTGGAGTCTTGTGCGAAGAAATTCTACATTATGAGCCACTGGCAGTAAAGTCGTGAGTGAGCAATTTGGCTGCTGCATAAATTAGTTTGCTCTGGAGCCCATCCTTCCTGAGCTAAGGCAAAAAATGTGTGAGCCAGAGGCTAAAAAAACTGAGAGCTAGCTCACACTAACTCAGCTTAGAGGGAACACTGGTTGTGGGCGTCAAGCTTTGAGGTACTCAGTCAATGCGCCCTCTAAGCTGTGGAGTCTTGTGCGAAGAAATTCTACATTATGAGCCACTGGCAGTAAAGTCGTGAGTGAGCAATTTGGCTGCTGCATAAATTAGTTTGCTCTGGAGCCCTCCTTCCTGAGCTAGGACGACAATGCGTGAGCTGGAGGCTAAAAAACTCTGAGCTCGCTCACACTAACTCAGCATAGAGGGAACACTGCTCGAGAGTTTGTCTAAAATGCGATTTCTGGAGAAGGGAGTGTTATGTTTTGCTGGGTGAGCTGTGTTGCCTAGAAAATCGTTACACTTTTGAGATATGTTTTGGGAACATAAAACGACCTCCAGTTTGGCAGCTGAGCTGGCAAAAGTCCTTCTGGATGCAAATGGATCGGATCAAAATGACTATTGTTTTCCCTTTAATGGGCTCCCCCCTTTGAGTCAGAATGTTCTCTTCTAAACATGAGGCCTACCGTCAGGGCTCTTTTTGTAAAAAAGCCCAGCAGGAACTCATTAGCATAACAGGCCACACCCAACAGCAGAAACTCATTAGCATATTAGGCCACACCCCTGACAGCACAGCTCATTAGCACATTAGGCCGCACCCCCATGTTACCAAAAGTGTGGTCATCCAGCCACACCCACCTTTTGCTTGTTATTCTGTTTACCTTGTTTGTTGTCAAAACCCAGGGCCTTTTTGTAGCAGGGACTCCTTTCCATGTTAGGCCACACACGCCTACTGTAGCCAATCCTAATGAGTTCCTGCTGTTGGGTGTGGCCTATTATGCTAATGAGTTCCTGCTGGGCGTGGCCAACTTGGGAGCCAGCCGGAACTCCGTTCCTGTGCGTTCCTGCCCAAAAATAGCCCTGCCTACCGTACTACACAGTGGATTGTGGCCAGAGTTTTTGCGATAGTGATCACTCGGCTGATCCTCCGATACAGACAGAATCCTCACATAGTTCTGATCGGACCTTTTTAGGAAGCCAACTGGGTCAGCATGCCAGGCTAGCAAGGCTTTTGAGTTAATGCCAAACTCTTCTTTGGGAAGACAGATGGAGACCCCTCCATCTTTGGGGATGGCGTTCCACATCCAGAGAGTTGTTCCAGTCGCCCTGCAGATTCCCCCTTCCTTCCAAAGGGTGCCAACTTTCCAGGACCTCTCTTCCCAGTATTCCCACCCGTGCCCATCTCCAGAGAGATCCTGGGATTCCCTTTCTCCTCTGTTCCAATACTTACTCCTCGAAGGCGTCTTTTACAGTCTTTTTCTATTAGCTTGTAGGAAACCTTACTCCAGTAGTATAAATCGTTTTTAAAGAGAGAGTGAATGAATTTCCATCTGTCTCGCAGATGAATCCAGTCCATGGTTGGCAGGATCCAGAGTTCCCAGCTCTGTTTATTAGATTGTTTCTGTTCTTCCGTTCCCTACTTTCGTCTCTCTTTTTTTTTAGGAGAGCCCCCCCCCCCCCAAGTGTAATGTTCTTGGACAAGCTGTGCCTGGCTTGTCAGAGATTGTTAAAAAGAGCAAGAATGAGATTTGTTTTGTTGGTCTTAATTGTAGATTGAGCAGGGACATGAGATGGGGGAATTGTCAGTGGAAGGAGAGCCAGTCTGGTGTAGTGGTTAGGAGCGCGGGCTCTAATCTGGGAGAACCGGGTGTGATTCCCCACTCCTCCACATGCAGCTGCTGGTGTGACCTTGGGTCAGTCACAGGTTTCTCTCAGAGTTGTTCTCTCAAGAGCGGCCCTCGAAAAGAGCTCTCTCAGCCCCGCCTACCTCACAGGGTGTCTGTTGTTGGGAGGGGAAGGGAAAGGAGATTGTAAACTGCCCTGAGACTCCTTCGGGTAGTGAAGGTGAATCCACTGGACTCAAATTTTCTTCTGTTTAAATGGCCACTGGCGTAGACAGCTTTAGAAGGGGATTAGACAGATTCGTGGAAGATAGGTCTATCAGTGGCTACTACCCATGGTGACTCAAGGGAACCTCCACATTCAGAGGCAGTCAAACTCTAAATCCCAATGCCAGGAAGCAACATCAAATAAGGCCTCTATGCCCTGTTGTTGGCCGTCCAGAGGAACTGGTTGTCCACTGTGTGAGACAGGATGCCGGACTAGATGGACCACCGGTCTGATCCAGCAGGGCTCTTCTGATGTTCTTATGAAGGCCTCAGCCTCTACGCCCTGTTGTTGTCTGTCCAGAGGAACTGGTTGGTCTCTGTGTGAGACAGGATGCTGGACTAGATGGACCACTGGTCTGATCCAGCAGGGCTCTTCTGATGTTCTTATGAAGGCCTCAGCCTCTACGCCCTGTTGTTGTCTGTCCAGAGGAACTGGTTGGTCTCTGTGTGAGACAGGATGCTGCACTAGATGGACCACTGGTCTGATCCAGCAGGGCTCTTCTGATGTTCTTATGAAGGCCTCAGCCTCTACGCCCTGTTGTTGTTTGTCCAGAGGAACAGGTTGGCCACTGAATGAGACAGGATGTTGGACTAGATGGACCCTCACTGGTCTGATCCAGCAGGGCTCTTCTGATGTTCTTACGAAGGCCTCGGCCTCTATGCCCTGTTGTTGGCCGTCCGGAGGAACTGGTTGGCCATGGTGTGAGACAGGATGCCGGACTAGATGGACCTCTGTTCTGATCCAGCAGGGCTCTACGGCCTCTTGTTGGCTGTCCAGAGGAACTGGCTGGCCACTGTGTGAGGCAGGATGCTGGACTAGATGGACCAAGGCTCTGATCCAGCAGGGCTGTTCATATGTCCTAGTGTTTTTAAAACAGCATCTGAACATTCACAAGTTACAAAGCCACCTTTGGGCTGCCCTTACAAATCGATGTTGGGGAGGAGTGCCAAGAAGCAGAAATTCCGCAGAGCGAAGGACTCTGGAAGAGAACATGAATGGTTCTTTGGCCACAAAGAGCTCAGTGCTGCTTGTAATTCTGTTGGGCTGCAGCTTCTGGAAGCGATAGGGACACGGTGGGGCAAGTCCTAACAGGTATTCAGGCGCATTCTGCTGCAG